GTAATATCATTTCTCTCTTTCTCTCCCTCTCTTTCTTTCCCCCTCTCTCTTTCCCTCCCCCCTTTCTTTTCTTCCCTTTCCCTCTCTTTCTCTCCCTCTCTTTCTTTCCCCCTCTCTCTTTCCCTCCCCCCTTTCTTTTCTTCCCTTTCCCTCTCTTTCTCTCCCTCTTTCTCTCTCTGCCGGTTTCACTTTCCCTCTCTTTTTCCCTCTCTTTCTCCCCCATGCCTTTCCCCCCTCTTTCTCCTTCCCTCCCTCTCTCTTTCCCTTCCTCTGACTCTTACTGTCACTCTCTCTGCCTCTTTCTCTCTCTCTATTCCCCCTCTCTCTTTTTCCTTCCTTTTCTCTCTCTGTTTTTCTCTTTACCTCCCTCCCCCTCTCTTTTTCTCCCCCCCTCTCTCTCTTCGTCTCTCTGTGTGTGTCTCTCTCTCACCCCAATAAAGCCAGTGAACTCTTCTTAGAAGGCTCTACTCAGGCAATTGGAGAACAAACTGAGCTTTTGAGAGCGACTGCAAACTTAGGAGAAGGAAAGCAAGCTGAGTCTCTCTCTCTGTCTCTCTCATATACATACACACACACACACACACACGCACACGCACACACACACACACACATGCACACACCAGTGGTGGGATTCAAACAACCCAGCTGGTCATTAAGTCATTAGGTCATCAGTGGTCATGTGACTGGGTGGGGGCTGAAAATTTGCAGGGGTTGATTTGAAAGGCGCTCTGCACATAATCCGAGACAATCCTGCCACCAGAAAAGAACACACCAAGGGGAGCAAGCACAGGGCGAGAAAGTGGGCAGCAAGGGATACGTTATTGCTGCAGAGATAGAGAGTGGTGTGCAAGATCCCTCTAGTCTCAGTCTCTCTCTCTCTCTCTCTCTCTCTCTCTCTCTCTCTCACACACACACACACACACACACACACACACACACACATCTTTGCAATTAGATCTCGTCAATGCACAGGTTATTTGATTGTGTATCTGTAATTTTTGAAAGAAGGCAAGCAAATTACAACTACCAGAGGTAATTGGGGGTGAAAAAAGAGAAAGGCCAGGGAGGGTTTTTCTAAATAGAAGGAAAGGAGCGGGGACCATTCACAAACAGGCCCCTGGTATCAACTTAAATGGGAGGTGCGAAATGAAACTGCATCCACCAATCAGAGCCCTGTTCTGCCCATTGCTTGTTTTGGTGCATGTCTGGCAGCGTTTTGTCTGTGCTGGGGTGATGGTGTGTGTGCCCACACAGAGGGCTCTGCGTGCCATCTGTGGCACACGGGCCATAGGTTCGCCACCATGGGTGCAGAGCATCATTTCTGTGAACTGGCTTAACCTCCAAGGAGAGAATAATTCCATTTTTGTGGCATTCCGCAAACTTGTAAAGCAGGGTCTCCACCCCTCTACCATTTGTATGAATCTCTCCCCTCTTCCTCCTCCTGACCGGGCTGCCAAGCCGGAAAGGTTCTGTTGTAAAGGCTTTTTTTGGAGACCCTTTCACAATTTCATTCAGAGTCAATAATGTAAGGCTGATACTTATTTTAATGCTATATTATACTATTATGTACACATAAATGTGAAATCACATTTGACAGTTCTTTAGCTGGTGTTTGTCTTTGTATACATCGAGTTATTTCCACGAACTTAGGATAATATAATGAATCAGCATAGTTTTTGTGTAGATCTAATCAGCGGGCCCATTTGATAATGACAGATAAAATTTTTGCCATTCTAAGTGCTGTACAAGATTTTTGGTATGACATCCAGTGTACCGATAATCACTGGGAGCCATTACGACTGGTTTATGCTATAATCTTTCCATTTTTATTTTCAAATCTTGATACTTTGTGATTTTTCTCAATTTTATTTACCTGTTATTCTATTATCTCCTAGTATTGGATCAATTATCCACATTCTTTACAGCCACAGTTAAATCTGCGCTTTGTGCCAAGACTATATTAATTTTATTATAATTTTTATTTTATTTTGTTTTATTTTATGTAGTGAAAATAGCCTACAGTTTTACTGGTTTGAAGCAACGCACTAGTACATCTTTTTTAGTACATTACAGTTACTCATATCATTCATTAATGCATAACTTTTACCATTTATTTCTTTTACATTAATTGCAATCTTCTGTATGCCAAGCAATACCAAATAGTAATATATATTGGCATCTGCTAATCATTCATAGCTTTGGGTAAGACTTTTATATAATGGTGGTTAATAAGATAGAAATGTGTATACTAGGTTACTAGCCTTTATTACCTGTACATGCTTTACCTGTACAGCCTTTATTACCTGTACATGCTTTACCTGCAGCATCCTCTGATAATGGTAAGGACAATATTGATCAGTTTGAAATATTTTGGCTGGTATGAAGTGAGTCACTTCCACTTGATGGAGGGAATGACAAGGTATCCTAGAAGTTGTTTAATATTATGTTCAATGATTAATATTTTATTTACTTTGTCTCCAAGCTAAAGTTGTAAATGAAATTCAAAATCTAAATCTAAATTATAATTCTGGTTTAAGACAGCAGTTTTGTATGTAATATTAACTAAATGATCAGGCAATGTACCTCAGAAAGTTTTCTCATTTTGACAGAATGTGTTAGAATTCTCTATTATTGTACATGTAGATCAAGCAATTTTGTTAGTAACTTTGCTGAGTAGTTCAAATCCAATGCTGGCATTTGTTGTTGTAATTAATTACATTAGAAAATGAAATAACATTTAAGGCTTCTCTAAAGAAAATTTAATCACAACTCCTTCTATACAATTAATATGGTAGCATTCATTTTCATTCCACTAAATTTGATTGATATATAGTTTTCTAATTACCTGTTAATATATAAAAGAGCCAACAGTTAAATATGATTATTGTTACATTTTTTTGTGCTTCATTTTTCAGGGATTTATTTGTCCTCTTTGTATGAAATCTCATGGATCAGCTGAAGAACTTTTTAAGCACTATGAAGCAGTTCATGATTCTGGTATTGATACAAGTCATGCAGGAGAATCTAACATGACCTTCAAAAGGTGCTTATAAATACTGGTTTATTTCTTTTTATTATATATTGAATAATAATTGATTTGTAACTGCATTTTAATCACTAATTAATCTGAATATTAGATGATATTGTGAAATATATTACTTTATAGCAGAAAAATACATTCAATGAAAACAAAGTCGCTAATAGTAAAAACTTTTATTTTTAAACTATATTGATTGAACAGTATCTTGGTTTAGATTTACCTTAGATTTGTTTCATGAAGACAGTTAAATCTTTTTTGTTTTGCTAGGCCCCAGAATTGTTTTAATTTATAGAAATAAAAATGCATTAATGTTTTGATATTACCAAAATATTAATTTCATTAAATTATTTAAATATATTATTATTTACAGAAATAAGTTGAATTTCATGGCAGTGATTTTTAAGACATTTAAATACATATATTTCCTTCTTTTTAATATGGATTATATTCAGTGATGACATAACTTTATTGAGGCAAGAAGTTCAAGACCTGCAAGCTTCGCTTAAGGTTGGGAAAATGTATTCAGCTTTTTATTTCAATTTACAAAGAACATCATGATTGTTATCAAAGTCCCAAGTTCACACTATTCTTTTAACTGACTTTCTACAGGAAGAACGATGGTATTCTGAAGAGTTGAAGAAAGAATTAGAAAAAGTTCATGGGCAGAAGCAGCAAGTAATTATTTTAAAATATTTGAAGCAAGCTTTCCACAAGCCATTTTTAATCAACCGTGAAATGAAGATTATTACCTATTTTGTAAGGCACGTGGCCTGACTTAGTTCTAATTGTGCTAATCTTCTTTGTAAGGGAGCGTGATGGCTCAGTGGTTGAAGACGCTGAGCTTGTCAGCTGAAAAGCTGACAGCCCAGGTTTGAGACCTGAGTGCTGTGTGACGGGGTGAGCTCCCGTTACTTGCACCAGCTCCTGCCAACCTGGCAGTTCAAAAGCATACAAATGTGAGTAGATAAATGGGTACCCCTTCAGTGGGAATGTAATAGCATTCTGTGCGCCTTGGCATATATCTTGCTGGCCATATGATCACAGAAATGTCTTTGAACAACGTTGGCTCCCTTGGCTAAAAACAGAGATGAGCGCCCTGTAGAGTCAGATGCAAGTGGACAGGGGAAACCTTTATCTTTACTTTTTAGCTTCTTTGTATTAATTGCTAATACAGTGAAATGATTTTTTTTAAAAAAAATTAACTTTAAAAACAGATTTGTTAATGTAAACTATAGCAATAGCAATAGCAGTAGACTTATATACCGCTTCATAGGCCTTTCAGGCCTCTCTAAGCGGTTTACAGAGAGTCAGCATATTGCCCCCA